GCTCCCAGAATTCCCCAGCCAGCACGTGTGGATTCCAACTCCCAGAATTCCCCAGCCAGCAGGTGTGGATTCCAACTCCCAGAATTCCCCAGCCAGCACGTGTGGATTTCAGCTCCCAGAATTCCCCAGCCGGCATGCGTGGACTTCAACTCCCACAATTCCCTAGCTAACACATGGACTTCAACTTCCACAATTCCCCAGCCAGCATCCATGGACTTCAAATTCTGGTTGAGTTTCAAGGTTATATCTGTTTTTATGGATTCTGGGGGTTTCATACGCTGCCCAGAGTCCACTGGAGTTGAGCGGCTATAATAAATTTAAATGAATAAACTCCCAAAATTCCCCAGCCAGCACACGTGGACTTCAACTCCCAGAAATCCCTAGCTGCATAGCCCTGAACTTCTCCATACAGCGCTCCATAAAAAGGGCCCATTTCGTTTCTAGTTAGAAAAGCATCTTCGCTTTAAGCCATATTGAAAGAAGAGCACCAGAAAAGGCTCCTCGGGGGCTCTCCCAAGAGAACCTCCATGTCCAGGGGCAGGATATCTGACAACCAGTTGCTAGAGCTTGGCGGGGCTGACCGAGTCATGCGCCCTGCAGCCTCCCAGGTACGCCGTCTTCCCCCACCCAGGACCCCACTGCAGGCTGGGGCTGATGGGAGTCATCGTCCAGCTCTTTCCCTGCGCTCACCAATAAAGGCCTGGTAGAGATCGGCGCTGTACTCCAGGTAGTTGTACCCTTCGTAATCGTACGGCTCTTCGCAGAGGGCGCGGCACTCCTCGTCGGCCGCCCAGTACCCCTCCAGCGCCTTCTCCAGGTGCAAAACGGCTGCCAGAGGCTTCTCCTCCGTGTAGTAACTCACGCCCTGGTGGAAATCTTCCTACAGAGGGGACACAGAAGGCGCAGCCCGGACAGTTTAAGATCCAGAAAGCAGAATTGCGCAATCTTGGGCTTCCCAGCTGTTTCCATTATTGCCCAATTTTATTATGGCCCTTGGAAATATCAGACCATCACCGTCATACAGGATCTAAGCTTGAGATAAGGAGGGCTATGAAGAGTGGAATATTTTAGATAATGGCCCCACCTCCTTTTTGCCTACCACAACACCCCTGTGAGGTGGACTCGTCTAAGAGAGCGGGATGGGCCCAAAGTCACCCAGCTGGCTTTCATGGCTAAGGCAGGATTAGAACTCATGGTCTCCCACTTTTTAGCCTGGCACTTTAGCCATTAGACCAAACTGGCTCTCCTATTTTTAATCTACTGGGGCAATGGGCAAACTCCCAATTCCCAGAATTCTCTGCAATGAGTGCCCTGGCTGGGGAATTCTGGGACTTGAAGTTTGTAAAAGGTGAAAGTTTTATACAATCTAAAGGAGCGTTTCTCAAACTTGGCAACTTGAAGATGTGTGGACTTCAACTCCCAGAATTCCCAGCCAGCATGTATGGACTTCAACTCCCAGAATTCC